GCTGAGATCACGCCACTGCACTCCAGCCTAGGTGACAGAGCGAGACTCCGTCTCAAAAAAAACCAAAAAACGACGGTGTTCCAACTTTCTTTTGTCCTCATGATTTCTGTTGGTGAGAATTATGACGCGGCAAATCTGTCCACGCCCTAACACTCAAACATGCGAAAAGGTTACATCACAGGGTACGATGGTTTGAAAGTGTCTCCAAAACTTCACGTGTGGGAAACTTAATCCCCAGTGCAACGACATTGGGAAGTGAGACTTTCGGAGCTGATAGGCCATGAGGGCCCTGCACTCATTTGTGGATTAATGTCATTACGGAGGGAGTGGGTTTGGTCACAGGAGAGCAGGCTTGTTACAACAGCCAGTGTGGCTCTCTTCCTCTCTCACGTCTACTCTCTTGCCTTCTGCAGAAGGCTTTCACCAAACGCGAATTGGATTGGTGACCTTGGACTGCCCAGCCTCCAGAACTATGGGAAATGCCTGCCTTTTTCCTTTGTAAATGACCCAGTCTGTGGTCCTCTGTTGTAGCAACACAATGCGGAGTGAGACAATGGCAAAAGGGAATTTCAGATAGAATTAAGGCTATGGACCTTTAGGTAGAAAAATTAGCCTGGGTTATCGAGTTGGGCCCAATCTAAATACATATGCCCTTAAAACAGAGAACTTCCTCCCGCTAGAGCACGGGGAGAGGAAGAAGAAGATAAAGTTAGAGAAACTGGAAGTGTGAGTGGGACTCTGCCCACCATGTTGGCTTTGAAGATGAGAGAAGGGACCATGAGCCAAGGAATGCAGCCAACGTCTAGAAGCTCAGCCTCACCACCACATGAAACTGCATTCTGCCAGCAACTTGAATGGGCTCAGAAGAGAACTTACCCCAGAACCTCCAGAAGGAAACGGCTGTACTATTTGTGGTTTTGTCCTCATAAGACTCTTAAGCAGAGGGCTCAGCTGAGCTACTTTGTACCTGGACTTATGGCCTATTTAACTATGACACAATAGATGGATGTTGTTTTAAGTCTCTAAATTCATTTAATTAAGGTAATTCATTATGACAGTAATAGAACAGTAGCACAGTTTCTGATGAGAAGTCAGCCATTAGTTGGACTAATTGCTAAGCAGCACGTAATATGTGACTTAAACTGCTTTTTATGTTTGGCTTTTAGCAGTCTGACTCTCATGTGCCTTAGTGTGCTTGTTTTTGTTTATGCTGCTTGGGATTCATTTTACATGTGCAAATTTATGTCTTTCCTAAAATTCAGGAAAATTTCAGTCATAATGTCTTCTAATGTTTTTTCTGCCCCATTTTATTTCTACAGCTAGTATGCTAATATAATCTACAAGAACTGTAAGCTTTGTTCATTTTCAAATACATCTTTTCTCTGTGTTTTTCATGTTGGACAATTTCCGTGGGTTTGTCTTTCAGTATACTTACTCTGTCATTTCCATTTGGCTAGGATGTCCACTGAGGAAAGATTTAATTTCAGAAACGGTATGTTTTTAAGTTCTAGAATTTCCCCTTGGTTCTTTTTCACTGTTTCTGTTTTTCTCATGAGGGTTCCCATATCTCTGTTGAGATTTGTTAGTTACAACATTTTGTTCATTTAGGGACTGGATTTCATTGTATCTTAAAGAATGTGTTTCAATTAATAGATAGGTAGATAGATGATAGATAGATATACATAGACAGTTGATAGATAGATGATAATGTTTTATATTTTTATGAGTTTGGGTCCTTTGTAGGGACATGGATGAACCTGGAAACCATCATTCTCAGCAAACTGACAGAAGAGCAGAAGATCAAACACCACATGTTCTCACTCCTAGGCGGGTGTTGAACAATGAGAACACATGGACACAGGGAGGGGAGCACTACACACTGGGGTCAGTTGGGGGGAAATAGGGGAGGGACAGTGGGGAGCTGGGGAGAGATAGCGAGGGGAGAGATGCCAGAGGTAGGTGATGGGGAGGAAGGCAGCAAATCACACTGCCACGTGTGTACCTATGCAACAATCTTGCATGTTCTTCACATGTACCCCAAAACCTAACATGCAATGAAATAAATAATTAGGAAATAATAATAATAATAATAATTTTGAATTCTACCATGGACATTATGAATGCTAAACTGTAGTATTCTAGACGCTATGATTTTTCTCCATTGAGTACTCTTTTCTTCCTCAGTAGGGAGTGTTCTTGGCTAGGCTTGAACTGCGGCTGTCTTCTCGTGCGGCAGCTCCAGCGTCAGCTCAGGCCTTCGGCTCTAGTTGCGTCTTTTGGGTCTGTTCCTCGAATGCTGAGTTCAGGCATGCTGGCAGTCAGAGTCCGGGCATTCCCTCTCTGGGTCTTTGTTTTCTGGAATTTCCCCACTATTTTCAGTGTTCACGGCTTCCCAGCTTCACCTTTCTCATTCCCCAGGGAAGAAAGATGAGGAATTTTGTTTGGTGCACCCCACCATTATGTATGCCACCCCTTTTGCGGGAGAGTTAGCCATCTATGCCTTTGTATTTCATCTGTTGATTTCACAAATTCGTGTATCAAAGCCCCAAGTACAAGAGGTTTACATGTGACAAACAATGAAGGGAGAAATAACCCTGTGACCTGACATATGTGGACACTTGTTCAGCTGTTTTCTATTAGTCAAATGACTAGCGCCAGGTGTGCAGTTTTAAAACATTCATATCGAGTGCACAGGAATGCTTTATCTCCACGTTTCAAACCACTCTTGGTACTACCAATGTTCAATGTTTTCTAAAGTGACAGCTGGAATGGACACTTTCTTTTATTTAATTTTTTTACTAAAAGAGGTTACACACAAATTTTTAGTTTTTGTCTAATTATGACCTTTAAATAGATTTCTATTTTTTTTTTCCCTGGATTATTTGAAAAAGTACTTTATATAATTGTCTTAGTCTGTTTTCCATGGCTATTAAAGAACACCACAATACCTGGGGCTGGATTATTTTATTCTGAGGCCGGATCTGTCTCCGTCGCCCAGGCTTAAGTGGTAATTTTTGAACAAACCCACTCTCACCTTAACTAATCCAGTCCCAGGAGAGCAAGAACTCACTCATGCCTGCAGAATTAACCCAGTCAGACAGAGTGGTATAACCCTCTTGACCTGATCACCTCTTAAAGGCCCCACCTTCCCCTGGGGACCAAATTTGGCACACATCAATTCTGGGGACACACTGAAACCATGACAATAATGAAGATCATTAATGCTTTGTCTCTTACACGTGTCACAAATCATTTCCCCAATTTATCTAGCTTTCACTTGTGTGGTATTTTTTGAATATAGGACTTTTAACATTTCTGTGGTCAAATCTATGGCGGCTGAGAAACAGTATCACTTAGTAATGAGGTTCCTTGCTTGGCAGTCAGAGAGACCAGAGTTCAGATTCTGCCTCCACTTGTTACGAGCTGCGTGACATTGATGCACTGCTTAACGTCTCATCCATAAAGTGGTCGCAGCAGAGTCAAGCTTTGTGGAATTAACACACTGTACAAACCATGGATGTAAAGTCCGGATGCCAGGGATGGGAAGTGAGGAGCGCTGTCAGTGGTGCTGTCAATGGCAGCTGCTACCGGTCCTTTCTATGGTGAGGATATTTCCTGCCTGCCTTTTTTTTTTTTTTTTTTTTCATGCTTAGAGAGTGCTTCTCCACCTCAAGTGATTTGTATATTTACCTACATTTTCTTTAATGCATTTTTGTTTTTAAGATCTATCCCAGCCCCACTGAAGTGTTAACTTTATAAAATCTTTATTTTATGTGCTTTTTCAAATTGTTAATGAACTCAGTGTGTTTTAGTTAGTTTCTTTGTTTGTTTGAGACAGAGTCTTGCTTTGCCGCCCAGGCTGGAGTGCAGTGGTGTACTCTCGGCTCACTGCAACCTCCACCTGCTGGGTTCAACTGATTCTCCTGCCTCAGCCTCCTGAGTAGCTGATTACAGGCACGTACCACCACGCCCAGCTAATTTTTGTATTTTTAATACAGATGGGGTTTCATCATGTTGGTCAGGCTGATCTCGAACTCCTGACCTCCTGATCCGTCTGCCTCAGCCTCCCAAAGTGCCTTTTTTTTTTGAGACAAGCTTTTGCTCTGTCACCTAGGCTGGAGTGCACTGGTGCACTCATTGCTCATTGAACCTCAAACCTCTGAGCTCAAAAGATGCTCTCACTTTGGCTTTCCAACGTGCTAGGATTACAAGCATGAGCAACCGTGCCTGGCCTACTTATTATAATTTTTAATGCACATTTTGATCCTGGTAGGTCATACTTCTCCCCTGTTCATCTTACTCAAATCCTTTTCCTACACTTTCTTTTTACTCTTTCAGAGGAACTTTAGGTTATTGGATATTTTTCTTGGGCTGGCAATAAAGTATATGAGGAAAATGACGATTTCAAGCTTTGAATCTAGGAGCACTTCTCCGTTTATTTCCATTCCCTTTCATGATTTCCATGAAGTTTTCTCTTCACTGCACACAGCTGGTTAAGCCGTTCCCTAGCACTTTTACATTGCTGGCAGGTGTCAGATCCATCTGATGGCGCATTCTTTCTCATTTTAACGGGTACTTAAGAAAGTACATACATTTTTATCAGCTCCAAGTATTGCTTTTTACGTTTTTCCTTTAAAATCTCATTTCATTATCGGAGACTAGCACCACGTTAAACGGTGCAATACACAGCTGAAGAGAGTCCTTGATCTTTTCACGTTGTACTGATTATGAGGCTAACGAGTGAGATAGTATCTATTCCCATTTTGCAGATAAGGAAGATAAGGGAGCTGGGGCACCGGCGACTGGGGAACTCGCCCCAATCCCGCGTCGGATTTGAGCCCAGGCAGCCTGGCCCCGCTGGGTGAAAAGTCCCACCCCAGAGAAGAAACGGAACGCGTGGCCGCGCTGTGTCCCCACCGCGAGGAAAGGCCTCTGGGTCCCCGTCCCCGGGGCGCGGCGCTGTCGGCCCGCGGTGCGGGGTTCGGGCCGCAGGCGGGGGTCCCGGTGCGCTCCCGCGGACAGCAGGTGTTCTTGGCCGTGGCGCGGGGCGTCCGGGGCGCGGCGTGGGGAGCGCTCGGGACGGGGCGTGGGCGCCGGGAGCGCCGGGCGGAGCCTTGAAAAGTGGCCGGGCGGGCGGCGGCCCAGACGCGCCAGGGACCATGCCCGGCAACGGCAGCGCGCTGCCCAACGCCTCGCGGCCGGGGCCCGGCGGGGACGCAGCGCGGCCGCAGCCCTCGTGGCTGGCGTCCGCGCTGGCCTGCGTCCTCATCTTCACCATCGTGGTGGACGTCCTGGGCAACCTCCTGGTCATCCTGTCCGTGTATCGGAACAAGAAGCTCAGGAACGCAGGTAGGGCCCGCGCCGCGCCCCTGGACCCGCGCTCCGCACGCCTTGGGCGCTTCCCAAACGCCGCGGGCTCGGAGTCGTTCTTCTCCCTGGAGACTGCTGTTCCTCCGGCCGGCCCGCGAAAGCGCCTTTGCGTGACCCCGAGTCGCGGCCCTGCGAGGGGGGACACCGCGGTCGGGTGTCCCGTCTCGGGTTTACCCGATCGAGACGCGCCGGGTCCAGGCTGCGGGAAGTTCCTCCAGCAGCCTCCGCACCGTTCGAACGGGTCCACGGCGTGGTCTGACACGTGGTTTACTTTTCCTAACTTTGTTGAAACGTGGAAACGCAGAAGTGGGCAACGGGATGGAGCAGCCGCTGTGGTTTTGCTGCTCGGAGCGATCTGCGGCCGCGAACCTGCGGTGGAAAGACGCCCCCGAGCACGCTGTGCCCGCAGCCGCAGCTCCTCCGGGTAGACGGGTCACTGTGAACACGGACGCGGCTGTGTCGGGGGAGGCAGGCGCAGTGGCACCGTCTCCTGTTCTGTGTGACCGGGGGACTGCCCTTACACGGATTATGCAACTACCGATAATTCTGTGCTTGGGTTAAATTTACTTCTTCCTCTGAGCGATGAATTGAACTGGTTTGTCCTGGTGGGAAGCTGGGGACAGTTTGCTCTTAGGATACCGGATGTTCAGACTCTAGGTGTTGATTAGATGCTCGGTTCTCTGAAGAAACTAGTCTTTGTTGTTGTTGTTGTTGTTTTTTTTTTTTTTCTTTTTTTTTTTTTTTTTTTGAAGGAACCTTCGGGAGAAAGGGTGGGCAAGAAAACATGCACTTAAATGTCTGCCAAGATGAATATTTTTGTTCTAAACACGTAATTGAGAAAAGCTCTAATTTTGTTTAGCTCCTTTTGGGGACACTCACCCCTGCCTTCTTTTTTCCCCTGTAATGATTTTGCAGTTTTCAGTTTGAAAATTAGTTAATAAGCACCTAGTGATATGAATTGAGTTTGAGTTAGTAAATTGAATAAGCTCACTTCGTAGGTGATCGACTTAAACTGGAGGAATTCTGCCTTCAAGAGGCTCATTCCTTCCTAGCAATAAAAACGGCTTTCTTTAGACCAACAGATTGTGAGCACTGGGATAACTGAATCCCAGGGCCGCCTCGTGGTGTGGTGCCATTGTTAACTCACCTTACAGAGGAGAAACTGAGGCTTCACGTTGTTCACAGGGCTGGGAGTGGGAGCAGGGTTCAGTTCCCGGAGCTGGTCTCCACATCTCAGCCTACTTCCTCGCTAGCGACACCTGCAGCACTGGGGAAGTTTGAATTCTGCAGAACCTTTCATTTAAAAAGCGTTCACAGCGGAGCACCATGGCTCATGCCTGTAATCCCAGCACTTTGGGAGGCTGAAGCGGGGGAATCACCTGAGTCAGGAGTTTGAGACCAGCCTAGCCAATATGGAGAAACCCTGTCTCTACTAAAAATACAAAAAAAAATATCGAGTGTGGTGGCGCACACATGTAATCCCAACTACTTGGGAGACTGAGGCAGGAGAATTGATTGAACCTGGAGGCACAGGTAGCAGTGAGCTGATATTGTGCCTGTGCACTCCAGCCTGGGCAACAAGAGTGAAACTCCATGTCAAAAAAAAAAAAAAAAAAAGCTAAAATAAAAAACAAAAGTGTTCATGCCTGAACAGTTTTACTTCTTGTGTTTTCTGAAGAAGAACTTAAGAAAAGGGCTCCTTACACACACTTTGTATTTTATTTGCTAAGGCGTGTCCTTAAGAGGACAGCGCGTAAAATACTACATTCCTGTAGCTGCCTGGAAGACCCCTAGTGAGCCCTAATCACACAGCTTTAGAAGTTCCGTATTTTTATCATAGGGACTTTTTGTTTATAGGTGCAGCTGCAGCCATTTGAGGATTTCAGAATGGTTGGTGATTTGGAGCAGTGATAAGGATAGCTGAGTCAAACATAAGTTTCGGTATGCTTGTTAGAAGTTTTGATGATTTTTCAGCGGAATTAATTTGGTTGGCTTTAAGGATGAAGTGATGGGAAGAAGAGAATGGAAGAAATGAGAATGCGAAGGCATCTCAGCTTTGAGCTCTCACTTTCCAGTGGAAAGCAGGTATAATTGCAGGGATTTATGCCACCTTCGTCCCCTCAGGGGAATGTGTTGACATTTGACTTCCCAGGGAAGAAATGAAAAATGGCTAGCAACCTGTGTGCTGGTGACACGGGACAGCCACAGCTGACACAGGCTGCAGAAATCCTCTAGTATCTGTGGCGCCAAAGAATATTCGCTCTGCTCTTGTCCAAAATGTGATAATAGAATTTGTCTGCCATGTCGTATCTTCTGAGTACATTTGATAGCATAGTGGACAATTCCTGCAATGGAATGCTAGGACTGGATCCTTGCTGTGCGCTTTCTGATTTCAGAAATCAGTGAAGCTAAATACCAAACTTCATTCTCCACGTATGTCAAATTACAGATGATACCAACCTGTTTAGCCTCACAAGAATGTTGCAATGACTTGAGTGAAATGGCGCATATGAGAATACTTTGAAAAGGACAAAACACGTAATACCGTGTCGGGGTGTTTTCTGAGTACGCCTAACAAGGGTGTGCTCTGTTTGTTGGAAACCATTGCACCAAAGACCTATGATTCGTGTACTTTTCTATATGTACGTTATACTTAAATAAAACTTATTTTAAACAGCATTAGGCAAGAGTACAATACTATCTTGTCTATTCAAAATTCAATTATCTGGCCATCTAACAGAAGTAGAATACAGCCAATAAATGGAAATGAGCAAAAGTGACAGGCTCTCACCCACAGTGGATTTGTTCTAACTCAGAGTGCTACCAAACTGTGATGCTAGTGTCTAGGTCCCTATAGATTATGAGCAGGAAATTAGGAGGAAGATTGACACATTTAAAGAAATGGCACATAATAGCCAGCAGCATGCGTTGAAATAGACTCATTAAAAGCAGGTTTGAAAAATAGAACAAGCACGACCTTCTGTGCTGAAATTTTGAAGATGCAAATAACCCTGCTCACGACTAACTGCTCCTGAAAGCAGCGCAGTGCACTGACATATTTATTAATTATCACCTGATCCATCAAGGAGAGGTGTCATCGTGTGTGGCATGTTCTACTTAAGAAGACAGAGGTATAATGCATTTTAGAAAGATACCTGTCAAAAGCAGTTTATTCTTATTTAATCTGCATGCGCAGTAGGCTTAAATGTCAGTAAATGTTAAAAAAAAATTTGTTTCCCAGAATGGTCCTCTGGCTGGATGGCTGACACTGGGCCTGTGCTAAGCCTCTCTTGCACAAAATTCAGATCTCTATAGAATGTTATATTTATCCATTCTGCGTTACCACTCAGAGAGGATACACAGAGTATGGAGTGAATTTGGACTTTGGGCCTCAAGAGATCTGTTTCAAATCTTAAATGTACCAGGGCTGTTTTAAGACACCACTTATTTTATATGGATACTAGAAGGATAAACTTAGATTCTACCCATCAGTCCACCTACCTACCCATGCACCAACCCATTCATCCACCCGTCCATCTACCCGTCCACCCATCCATCTATCCACCTACCCATCATTCTTCCATCCACCCATCCACCCATCCATCCACCCATCTACCCACCCATCCACCCATCCATCCACCCACCCACCCATCCACCCACCCACCTACCTACCCATCTACCCATCGTTTTGATGTGTAAATAATAGTATTATTATGTTATTACTAGTATGCATCTGGTGATTAGTTCTTTTTAGGTTATTTTTTATTTTTTAAATGTTCATATATTTTTAAGTGTATGTTTTAAAAAACAGACAAGTAGACAATGTGAATGGGAAGAAAGTGAAATCAGCCAGAAATGGTTTAGAATCAAATTCCCACTGGTGACATTATGCAAAATACACAAAATCTTCCTTGTCTGAGTTTTCCCTTTCATAATAACCATTATCTCTCTGCAGCAAGTAAGCTTGAGATTTAAGGACTGATTATTTCAATATTCAGCTGTTCTCTAACTTTAAGTGAATCAGCTCTAGACGCTGCAGTAGCTTTCTTGGGCAAGCATGCTGCCATTCAAAACCTTAGGACGTAACTTGTACTGTAGAGATGTGGAAAATGATTATAAGCAAAGCCCATGCTTCATGCCATCTCCTGTCTGAGAGATTTCTTGTTGGTACTGTTGCAGCTTCCTTCCTGTGGCTTTACGCAATATTTGAAATTATTGATTCAAGGCCATTTTTTACTTTTAGAGACATTTTATTGATTTTTTTTTTTTCCCCCTTGTATGCTTAGCTGTTGTTCAGATTTCTATGAGTTTTTATCCTGGTTTATATAGTACATTGTTATGGAACCCGAAGTTTTTACAAATGTGTCAAAAGTAATTCCCAGAATCCCCCGTAAACCTTATGACAGTAGTTTCAGACTCTCAAACACATGATTGAATTTGGGTCTGATCTTTGGTTCTTCCAGCTATTCATTTCATAAGAAAGTGTTCCTGGCAGGAATTTTCAGTGTTAAATTAATCACAGATAAGACAGAGTTTACTTTTGCTGGCTTTCAGCATCATTTTTCTCTTGGCAATTTTGGAAGTTAACCAAGGATAAAATAGTCCTAGATTAAACCTCCTGCTATTAGTATTTACTGCCATTTGATGGCTTTGTTTTAAAAGTATCTGCATTGAAAAGTATCATGCCTTGGCAGTTACTTTAAATCTTCATAGTCTTTGGAGCTCATTCTGCCCCTTCTTCATTAGCACCGTTTAAAAAGAATAACCAGTACCATGCTGTTTTGATTACTGTAGCCTTGTAGTATAGTTTGAAGTCTGGTAGTGTGATGCCTCCTGCTTTGTTCTTTTTGCTTAGAATTGACTTGGCTATGCGGGCTCTCTTTTAGTTCCATATGAAGTTTAAGGTGGATTTTTCCAGTTCTGTGAAGAAGGTCATTGGAAGCTTGATGGGGATAGCATTGAATCTGTAAATTACTTTG